GAGAAGATAGGACGGCTCGAGATGAAATGGATCTTCAACTTAAACACTATGATCCCACACTGCCTGAATAATGATTTTGAAATTTAACATTTTTTTACGATAAATAAATCTTACATTTTTGTAATTAATTAATTATTTTTTATTGAAGCAATCATTTTTATTTCCAGTTAATATTTTAGATTTTCAATCAATTAACTTTTATCATGAATTTATATATATAGTACCTTTGCATTTGACAACTCCACCACTCCCTCCAATATATGTGTTTCACTTTATACCCCTTCTTTTTTCAACTACTTGACATACTGTCCCATTAGATATGTTTTTATATGTATACCATCAAATTATGCACTTTTCTTAAATTTTGTTTTTTGTATTTTTATATTTTTTGAGCAGATTTTAGGAATTCATCATACACCTCAACATGGGGTATTCCTATATATAAATGTATCCCTGTCTTTGTGATTAGTATTTATTGTTATGTTTTTGTGAGTTGTATTTATTGTTAAGTCTTTAGTGACACAATAACCATGAAACTCTGTATGTATGAGAGTATTTATATACTTCTTTACAAACATATGCACTGTTTAAATGTATCCTTATATGAATAGTAGGAAGGTGTATAATACATCTTCATTGATACTTAAGACTATATATCAAGATTAAAGGACCACTTACAATTCTTATATCTTATGTAGTTAATTCAATTTATTTTATAATACACACACTTAAATATGTCAGTCGATTATTATATATGAAAAAGTCAAGAATAGTGGACACTTAATTTGGAAAAAAGATACTGTGCAAACCTTTTTAGTACATTAGGATAAAATAGTCTTATTTTTCAATCTTTAACAAGAAGGGAACAAACTAATTATACATACAGATTGAAATTTATATTGCATTTTGCACTCTCACTCCTTTTTTACAAACCATTTTGTAATACTATGTAGTCATTTTTGATCTCTTCCCTGTTTATATATTTGTATTTGTATTATATTTTTTACATGTAAAGCTCCTTTGCAAGTTCTTTAGAAGAGTTAAAGGTGTTTTAATATCATATGATCAATATTATAAGCGTTCACTTGCACGGCGCTACACTGGTTGAGTTTTATGTAAATTAGAACAATTTTTGGGAAGCCTATCAGAGTAGGGTATCTGCCTTTATATGCCTAAAACCGACATGGAGCCGGCAGCACGTCCTAAGGAAGCTGTCATACGGCAAAATGTGTCCACATCACACAAGGGGGAGGAGCTTGCGGAAGTTGGAATCCACGGCGGCATACAACATCATCGAACACACAGCACCATCTCCACAGTCTGCAGCAGTTCGAGAGGTCCAGCCTGACCGGAGGAGTTCCCAGCAGCCCACCCACTGACTTATCAATAAGCTGAGCTTGTCTGCTATACCCTGTCAGATTGCTATACCCCTGTCACTTCCGGGGAGGGGAATCAGCTGGATCCTGTGCTGAACATTCGTGCTAGCACTCCTGCTACTCCCCCACAGCAAGGTCCTGGAAGGTAAGTAAAACTAGTTTTACACTTTCATTATAGTTAGTGCATTCACTAAGCTTAGGACATGGGACATTTAGGGTTAATGTTAGGGTTCAAATTAGGGTTAGGATTACAGACTTGTTCATATTTAGTGATATTTCACATTAGGGGATTATCACTAAATAGTGATTTCTCACACTTTATTTAGGGTAAGAATAGAGTGTGAGAGAGGTTAGAATCACTTACCTAACCCTAATTTGAACCCTCACTTAACCCTAAATGTCCCATGTCCTAAGCTTAGTGAATGCACTAACTATAATGAAAGGGTAAAACTAGTTTTACTTACCTTCCAGGACCTTGCTGTGGAGGAGTAGCAGGAGTGCTAGCATGCATGTGCAGCACAGGATCCAGCTGATTCCCCTCACCGGAAGTGACAGGGGTATAGCAATCTGACGGGGTATAGCAATCTGACGGGGTATAGCAGAATGATAGAACACCTGTTTGACTCACCACCCCATCTAGTAAGAGGCAGAGATTTACACTGCTCTTCTTTTCTGTCTCTACTACTGCATCCTTTTAATGCACTTTATGATTCATATACAGTTGCAAGAAAAAGTATGTGAACCCTTTGGAATGATATGGATTTCTGCACAAATTGGTCATAAAATGTGATCTGATAATCATCTAAGTCACAGCAATAGACAATCACAGTCTGCTTAAACTAATAACACACAAAGAATGAAATGTTGCCATGTTTTTATTGAACACACCATGTAAACATTCACAGTGCAGGTGGAAAAAGTATGTGAACCCCTACACTAATGACATCGCCAAGGGCTAATTGGAGTGAGATGTCAGCCAACTGGAGTCCAATCAATGAGATTATGGGTTTGCTTTTCACAAGAAGCATTGCCTGATGTGAATGATGCCTTGCACAAAAGAGCTCTCAGAAGACCTACGATTAAGAATTGTTGACTTGCATAAAGCTGGAAAGGGTTATAAAAGTATCTCCAAAAGCCTTGCTGTTCATCAGTCCACGGTAAGACAAATTGTCTGTAAATGGAGAAAGTTCAGCACTGCTGCTACTCTCCCTAGGAGTGGCCGTCCTGTAAAGATGACTGCAAGAGCACAGCGCAGACTGCTCAATGAGGTGAAGAAGAATCCTAGAGTGTCAGCTAAAGACTTACAAAAGTCACTGGCAAATGCTAACATCCCTGTTAGCGAATCTACAATACGTAAAACACTAAATAAGAATGGATTTCATGGGAGGATACCACAGAGGAAGCCACTGCTGTCCAAACAAAACATTGCTGCATGTTTACAGTTTGCACAAGAGCACCTGGATGTTCCACAGCAGTACTGGCAAAATATTCTGTGGACAGATGAAACCAAAGTTGAGTTGTTTGGAAGAAACACACAACACTATGTGTGGCGAAAAAAAGGCACAGCACACCAACATCAAAATCTCATCCCAACTGTGAAGTATGGTGGTGGGGGCATCATGGTTTGGGGCTGCTTTGCTGCGTCAGGGCCTGGACGGATTGCTATCATCGAAGGAAAAATGAATTCTCAAGTTTATCAAAACATTTTGCAGGATAACTTAAGGCCATCTGTCTACCAGCTGAAGCTCAACAGAAGATGGGTGTTGCAACAGGACAATGACCCAAAGCATAGAAGTAAATCAACAACAGAATGGCTTAAACAGAAGAAAATACGCCTTCTGAAGTGGCCCAGTCAGAGTCCTGACCTCAACCCGATTGAGATGCTGTGGCATGACCTCAAGAAAGCGATTCACACCAGACATCCCAAGAATATTGCTGAACTGAAACAGTTCTGTAAAGAGGAATGGTCAAGAATTACTCCTGACCGTTGTGCACGTCTGATCTGCAACTACAGGAAACGTTTGGTTGAAGTTATTGCTGCCAAAGGAGGTTCAACCAGTTATTAAATCCAAGGGTTCACATACTTTTTCCACCTGCACTGTGAATGCTTACATGGTGTGTTCAATAAAAACATGGCAACATTTCATTCTTTGTGTGTTATTAGTTTAAGCAGACTTTGATTGTCTATTGTTGTGACTTAGATGATGATCAGATCACATTTTATGACCAATTTGTGCAGAAATCCATATCATTCCAAAGGGTTCACATACTTTTTCTTGCAACTGTAAATCTGCATGTAGCAGAAAATAAAACGGTCTAATTTTTATTTGCAATATATTCTTTTATTGGATATAAGAGTGCATTGATCAAAGCACTTCTTAAAAATCATAGAGTCCTCTGAGATTAAGGCTATTTTTTTTAAATCAATGATATGAATATGACTATTTGACTAATGATAGCAATCTGCACTATTATTGTATCTTTTTTTATATATTCCAGTATATTTTTTCTGCCTGTGATAATTACATTAACCCATTGGGTACAGTAATTATATCACAGGCAGAGGGGATGATTTTGTGGGAATGAATGGGAGTGTTTAACTGTATTGGACGTGTTTTATTGGTTGTTCTACAAAACCCTGTGGGTTCTACTATGTGTGTAAAACCTGCATAAAAGAAAGCCATTTGGTGCTGATTAAAACACATCTTCTTGACCCTCAACACGTAGTCTTGTCTCGTGATTGGAGGAGACAGCTATATTCACACTGGGGATTGCTATACTTTGTATACTCCCCTGAGCTTTAATCACTTAGGTCTTGTAAGAGCTGTTCCTGATACGCTCTCCTGGAGGAGAGGTCTTTCCCACACGGTCCTGGAGGACAGAGGCTGATCCAGGGTAGAAGGAAGACAGCGAGACTCCAGTTAAGCTATGGCGGTTGTGGAGCTTGCGGTGGTTGTGGTGTCCAGTGCAGTGCTTGTGGTCCTCGGCGCAAGCTAGGTAGCATCCATCAACGAAAGGTACTCAGTCGGAGTACGGGGAGTTCCGTTACAGTATCATTTTGGTATTCTCTACTTTTTCATTGTGGGTCTTGAGAGGTGACCCAGATACCTGCACCTAAGGTGTGATTGAGTGGAAGTAGTATTTGATTTTTTGATAGTTAGTGACAGTCTAAGGGAATAATGCCAGAGGGCAGAGGAGGGAAGAAAAGTCCAATTTACGAAACCCAAATAAAACCCCAATAGTCATGAAGAAATGGATGAGTGGTGACACAGAAAGTAGAAAAAAGTCTGAATAATCAATTTTAAAACATTGAAATCTAAACGAATAAGGTGGAACAAATTACTCTGACCTGTGCCCTTGGCTGGAGCAGCAAAGAAAGAGGAAGGACGTGGGCTTACAGGGCCTTTTCTGTAACATCCTCCTTTTTTTTGATTGGTTGTTTATGATTTGTGCTGCTGGAGATTTTCAGTAAAGAGAGTTATGCAAATATGAAGCCTCCTTTCATGTGATAAAATTATCAACATTTACATATTACACTGAAAAATAAAAAAAATACAATAGCCTCCAGTCAGTCAGGAACTCAAACAGATACTAAAATAACAATATTTATTAAACAAAAGTATAAAGCACTATTTATTTCTTGTTTTTAATTTTTTTGATATGAATCTGGACAGACACTAGGGAAGTTAGACGTTAGTCTGGAGACGGATTAGGGTAGTTAGACGTTAGTCTGGAGATGGATTAGGGTAGTTAGGCGGCAGTTTGGACAGGGATTATGGTAGTTAGATGTTAGCCTGGAGAAGGATTAGGGAAGTTAGGCAGCTATCTGGACAGACATTACAGAAGTTAGAAGGCAGCCTGGACAGGGATTAGGGTAGTTAGACGTTAGTCTTGAGATGGAGTAGGGAAATTAGACAGTAGTCCGTACACAGAGATTAAAATAGTTAGACATTAGTCTGGAAAGGGATTAGGGAAGTTAGGTGGCAATCTTGAGGGGGATTAGGGAAGTTAGGTGGCGGTTTGGACAGGGATTAGGGAAATTAAGTGGCAGTCTGGACAAGGATTAGGGAAATTAGGGCAGTTAGGTAGCAGTCTGGATTGCGTTTAGGGCAGTTAGGTGGCAGTCTGGAGTGGTATTAGGGTAGTTAGGTGGTGGTCTGGACAGGGATTAGGAAAATTAAGTAGAAGTCTGGACAGGGATTAGGGCAATTGGGCGGCAGTCTGGAGTGGGATTAGTGTAGTTAGGTGGTGGTCTGGACAGGGATTAGGTAAATTAAGTGGCAGTCTGGAGTGGGATTAGTGTAGTTAGGCGGTGGTCTGGATAGGGATTAGGGTAGTTAGGCAGCAGTTGGGACAAGGATTAGGGCTGTTAGATAGCACACGTTAACATTTTTATTCCCCACAGGCTCACAACATTTGGCTGCCTTTTCTTGTATCTCTGTACCTCCATCTGATGCGAGCAATGTAGGTTTTTCTTGCGAGCTCCATGGTAACCCAGGGCAATGTTTGGAGGAGCTCTCTGCCCCTTCACCCCCATTTATTTCAGAATTTAGACAGTGTTTACTGTTATCCAAACACAGAATAGAAAAGTTGCGGCCAACAGTAATAATTGGCAAATTTTTGGCAGATCCAGGGCTTTTGGGGCTCTATTTGGGGCCTGTGTCAGCCCTACCCTGATGACACCCCTGCTGAAATGTACTGTGTACAGTCTCACTTTTATTTAAAAAAAAAAAAAAAAAATATGAATCTCTGTCCTGGGTTGAAGGGAGATTTTTTCAGTTTGGCCACAAATTCAAGTGTGTTCAGTGTTTTCCTGCGTAAGAAAAATGCACGTGTTCTCTGCTGTTTAATAGAGAAGTAGCAGTTTTGCAATATCGGATTATTTAAAGAGTTTCTAGTGTGATTTCTCTCATAGTTCGATGTCAAGAGAATAAAAAAAAAAACGTGTTTGGATTGGGACCTTACTTGTGGTCCTTGGGTCAATCTGGACTAAAATGTTAGGGTGGCGTGAAAATCTATTTTATAGCTTGATTTGTGTATTATATGAAAGAGAGCACAAAGCCCACAAAACAGAAATTTACATAGACTGGGCTTATAATACACAGTATCTCACAAAATTAAGTACACTCCTCACATTTTTGTAAATATTTTATTATATCTTTTCATGTGACAACACTAAAGAAATGACACTCTGCTACAATATAAAGTAGTAAGTGTACAGCCTGTATAACGGTGTAAATGTGCTGTCCCCTTAAAATAACTCAACACACAGCCATTAAAGTCTAAACCGTTGACAACAAAAGTGAGTACACCCCTAAGTGGAAATGTCCAAATTGTGCACAAAGTGTCAATATTTTGTGTGGCCACCATTATTTTCCAGCACTGCCTTAACCTTCATGGGCTTGAAGTTCACCAGAGCTTCACAGGTTGCCACTGGAGTCCTTTTCCACTCCTCCATAATGACATCACGGAGCTGGTGGACCTTGCGCTCCCCCACCTTCCATTTGAGGATGTCCCACAGATGCTGTAACAGAGCTCCCTGTACTCCGACCAAATACCCTCCGTTGAAGGATGCTCCTAGCGCTTCCTGAGGACTCCAAGCACTACAGCAGACACCACAACCGCTGTAGCTTGACTGGGGTCTCCCCGTCTTCCTTCCAACCTGGATCAGCTTCTGTCCTCCAGGATTGTGTGGGGAAGACCTCTTCCTTCCACGCTGTATGAACCTCCAGCATCCAGGACTGTGTGGGGAAGACCTCTCTTCCAAGGAGAGCGTCTCAGGAACAAGCTCTTGAAAGAGCTAAGTGATTCAAGCTCAGGGGAGTATGCAGAGCATAGCAATCCCCAGTGTGATGACAAGGCTATGTTTAGAGGGATCAAGAAGAACTGTCTAAACCTTTATTTTACTTGGGACTAGCCCATATGGTCATTACATTAACAATGCTGTGAAAACTCAGTAAAATTACAAACAGCCAAATCATAGCAGGCAACGTACAGTGACTTATTATAACACAATGGCATATTTTTAAAGGGGTGGGGTAGACAATATTTAACAGAAAATATATCACGTGCCTGCAGAATTAGCAATATGCAAATCTACCCAAATATGCAAATTAACCAGTCTTGCTATTCGGGTAGTGCATATTGCTGTTGCTACCAACAGAGGGCACTAGACAAGCTCCATAGCCAAATCCACCTAGTTGGTAGCAAACCTCAGCAGTACAGAAGAGCAGGCAATACATTTCACAGTACACACACACTATAAACAATTACATTACACACACCCTGCACCTATAATGGGTACAGGGTGACTAAAACATAAGAGAAAGCAACCTACATAAATAGTCTGTCTGAAGGTGGAATAGGGGCTTTAAAGCCAAATACATCAAAGAGTCATAGTCACCGGGGAGGAGGCTGGCAAGCAGGCCTCTCCAGGACCAAGTGGCGAAGGGCACTTCGTCACAGATGCTCAATAGGGCTTAGGTCTGGAAACATGCTTGGCCAGTCCATCACCTTTACCTTCAGCTTCTTTATCAAGGCAGTGGTCGTCTTGGAGGTGTGTTTGGGGTCGTTATCATATTGGAATACTGCCCTGCGGCCCAGTCTCCGAAGGGAAGAGATCATGCTCTGCTTCAGTATGTCACAGTACATGTTGGCTTTCACATGACACCAGGGAGGGAAAATGGCTAATTGTGCCCAATTTGGACATTTCCACTTAGGGGTGTACTCACTTTTGTTGCCAACAGTTTAGATATTAATGGCTGTGTGTTGAGTTATTTTGAGGGGACAGCAAAGTTACACTGTTATACACTTACTACTTTACATTGTAGCAGAGTGTCATTTCTTCAGTGTTGTCACATGAAAAGATATAATACAATATTTACAAAAATGTGAGGGGTGTACTCACCTTTGTGAGATATTGTGTATATAAACAGTTCAATATAAACAGAGTCTTTCTGAGCACTGTATCAGATAATGGTATAAAGAGACAGCCTCATTGAGCTTTCTAACATATAGCATAAAGAGACAGCCTCTCTGTGCTCTCGAATAGATTATACTACAAAGAGATAGGCTTTCCGAACTCACTAATATATATATATATATATTTATTTTTTCTACTGGCCACGTCTATCTTAATGTATGAATAAAATTGAGATTTAGTGGCTGTCCCTGAACTATAAATCATCTTTTTTCCAATCAATCATCTCTTTCTTTTTTTGGTGCCAAGCTTGGAACTCTAAATCATGAAACAGATTAAATGACTCTCTTATTCCCTCATTCCATTTGTTTTGTGATCCTGTTGGAGATTCAGAATTCGAAGAATCAGATGACTCACCAAGCCCGATATTTAGAGGAGTCGCAATTTGTTTGACATCAATGCAATGAAACCAAGTCTACGGTCTGTCTGTATGGTGTGCTTGTTATCGTAGTGAGGTTCTCCTGTTCTTTTTCTAGGTCAACCAGCTATGTTTAGGTAATATCAATATGTTGTCATTCTGAGACTTCCATCTCCTATAGCAGCAAATTTGAAGAAACAAAACAGAGGCCAGATCCGTACCTCCTGCCATAGTGTGAAAGATATTTAAACATGACAAGATAACACTGAGTTTGTTCTGCTGTCATACTGATAGTTTAGGTCCATCAGATCTCCATGCATGGCACACATACCACACACATACCACAAATGCTGCTCTCGCATACTTCATGGTGGGCCTGTTTCACATTCCACATGGCTGATATATCAGATGTTCCCATGAGCTAAACTTCGTTACATGTTATTCAGAAGCATCTGCCTGCTCTATAATTACCCACAGACTCTCAGGAGGGCTTCATTTGGGTATTTAGATAAATGACTAAAAGTATTAATATCAGCATTTTATGCTGCACATATCGCATGGAGATTGCAGTCCATAAACGCATACCACAATATCATGCAGATTGTACACAGAAACATGTGATGCTCACATTCCAATATACTGCTACATTTTCATCAACTGCCACTGGTGGGACATTCCAAGATACTGCTTAATTTGTGTCATCTGCAACTGGTGCAACATTTAAAGATACTGTTCCATTTTACATTATGTTCCATTGGTGGGACAATCCAAGATATTGCTCCATTTTACATAATCTGCCACTGGTGGCACATTCCAAGATACTGCTCTATTTTCATAATCTGCCATTAGTGGGACATTCCAAGATACTGCTCCATTTTACATCATCTGCCATTAGTGGGACATTCCAAGATACTGCTCCATTTTTCAACATCTGCCGTTGGTGGGACATTCTAGGATACTGCTCCTTTTTACCTCATCTACCATTGGCGGGACATCTCAAGAAACTGCTCCATTTTTCAACAGCTGCCGTTGGTGGGACATTCCAAGATACTGCTCAATTTTACATAATCTGTCATTGGTGGAACATTCCAAAAACCTGCTCCATTTTACATCATCTGCCATTAGTGGGACATTCCAAGATACTGCTCCATTTTTCAACATCTGCCGTTGGTGGGACATTCTAGGATACTGCTCCTTTTTACCTTATCTACCATTGGCGGGACATCTCAAGAAACTGCTCCATTTTTCAACAGCTGCCGTTGGTGGGACATTCCAAGATACTGCTCAATTTTACATAATCTGTCATTGGTGGGACATTCCAAAAACCTGCTCCTTTTTACGTCATCTGCCATTGGTGGGACATCTCAAAATACTGCTCCATTTTCATCACCTGCCATTTGTGGGACATTCCAGGATACTGCTCCTTTTTACATCATCTGCCATTGGTGGGACATGCGAAGATGGAATACGATGGTTCTACTAATGGCTGACAGAGTTTATCAATGCCTGGATTTGATCAAGAATTAAGGACCACTATCAATTTCCCATCAATTAAGTACTTGTTCAAGTACTTAAAGGGACTTCACTGCCCTAATAAAAATAATTAAACATATAAAAATAACTAAACATCACTGTTTAACAGATTCACGCCAAATTAAAACATGATTTTTTTAATTATGTATTTTTTAATTGGAGTTATATCTAAAAACACCATGTAAAAGCTGCAGATCTCTTATCTGCAACCGTTGCACGCCCTTCTCTTCTAACCCCGCCCAGACTATCCAATCACAGACTTCCCAATTCAGCTCAATGAGAAGTCATTGCAAGGCAGGTGCTCTGGGCAATTGCTACCTCTTGAGTTTATCTCCACTTTGCTAAACAAACCAGGAAGTAACATGACCCGGTGTCTGATTGACAGCCAAGGAGGTTTAACAAGGTTTATTTATAGAAGCCTCCATTTCTGTTTAAATCTGCACTTTTTCTAAACTGAGAAAAAAGGTTACACTCTTCACAAAGTGCTTTAGTGTAACGGAGTCTTACCTGATAGGGAGTCCAGCTCGCAGAGTTATACGCTCACCCTTGCAAAGTAGACACAGACCAGGGTGACCAGGTAAGACGCCACCTGGCCTGTGAGTCTGTGCACGGGGGCTTTCCAGGAAAAGTGTTCCAAGTCTCAGTACAGCAGGGATTGGCAGAAGCGTGGTCAAGGGAAGCCAAAATCAGGGAAGCCAGAGGTTAGAGTAGTCCAGGAGGAAAGCCAAGGTCAGAAGCCGGAATAGACAGGAATCACTGGAACGCAGGTACGGAGTAACAGGAGCCAAACAAGGGAACCAAAGTCAATGAACTGACACTGCCCTCAGGGAGAGGCAGTGTCTTATACCTGGCTAATTTGTGATCAGCCACAGGTGTGCTGAGATCGTTGGAGCAGCCACAGAATAACGTCCAGCCCCCAATGCTGGGTACAAGGCAAGATAGACTTCTGGCTATCTCTAGAGCTGATATGGTGGCTCAGAGGCAAAGTAGCAGCCCCAGGACTACAAAGTACCCTGGTTCAAGTCCGTCACCGGGCACTTCTGGGGCGACCTCGTCTGGCCGACTGGATGTCACGGCGTGAACTGTGACATTTCTTGAAGGGAATTATAGTCACCAAAACTACACAAGTTTATTGAAGCAGTTTTGGTGTATACATTATGCCCCTGCAGTCTCACTGTTCAATTCTCTGTCATTTAGAAGTTGTAAATGTAACTTTAATTGCATAGATGAGGCTTCTGCAGGGTCTAGCAAGCTATTAACAGAGCAGGAGATAAGAAATTCTAAATTAAACAGAATGTGCAATAAATGAAGTATAAATAGACGATTTACAGGAAGTGTTTAGGAAGGCTGTGCAAGTCACATGCAGGGAGGTGTGGCTAGGGTTCACAATCAAAGTAATTTAACTCCTAAATGGCAGAGATTTGAACAGTGACACTACAGGGACATGATCTATACACCAAAACTGCTTAATTAAGCTGAAGTTGTTTTGGTGACTATAGTGTCCCTTTAAATTTGCGACATGAAAGGGAAAATAAAGATGGTCAAAAGCATTGGGGGTTTCACCTGATCATTTTGGACAACATGAGAGAAAAGAGTCACACGGATATTTTATGAGAGATACTTTGTTTAAAAAAGAAATGGGGAGACATTATGGATACAAATAACAAACTAGTAATACACTATTTAACCATGAATGTTAATGATACTTATAAAATATATGGACACCACGAACAAGCACACAATCTGTATTCATCTAAACAAACCAACCGGAAATACACTATCACAAACTAAACAAATACATCGAACTCTGACCAGAATCCCAGCACTGTCACCCTGCACCAATTAACTTCATGATTCTTTGTGGGGTTTAAATATTTATTCAGAATTCTGTTTACACGACATTCAGTGAGTTTTTCAGATATTCAGACATCGAGTGTTACAAAACATTTCCGCAGAGTTTGTCGTTTTCTGGTTTAATGTTGAATCGGGTGGATTTCTGATTATTATTATTATTATTATTTATAGTATAAGGCCATACAGCTACACTATATAATGTAATATAAAATAAGGTCATACTGTTACAGTATATAATATGTGTAACGGAGCTCCCTGTACCCCTGGCTGGGTACCTCCGCCAAGGACCGCTTCCTAGCTGGAACAGTGGACAAACCGCAGCACTTCTGCCCACAGTTGCCGTGGCTTGACTGAGGTCCTGGAACCGCTCCTTCCTGGAGCCGAATACTGGCCTTACAGTATATCATATAAGGCCATACAGTTACAGTATATCATAAGGTCATACAGTTGCAGTATATAATATAAGGTCATACAGTTGCAGGATATAATATAAGGTCATACAGTTGCAGGATATGAGGTCATACAGTTACAGTATATCATGTAATATAAGGTCATAAAGTTACTGTATATAATATAAGGTCACACAGTTACAGTATGTTATATAAGGTCATACAGTTACAGTATATAATGTAATATAAGGCCATACAGTTATAGTGTATCATATAATATAAGGTCATAAAGTTACTGTATATAATATAATAAAAGGTCACACAGTTACAGTATAGAATATAATATAGGGTCATACAGTTACAGTATATAATATAAGGCCATACAGTTACAGAATATCATAAGGTCATACAGTTGCAGTATATAATATAAGGTCATACAGTTACAGTATATCATAAGGTCATACAGTTGCAGTATATTATATAAGGTCATACAGTTACAGGATATAAGGTCATACAGTTACAGTATATCATAAGGTCATACAGTTGCAGTATATTATATAAGACCATACAGTTACAGTATATCATGTAATATAAGGTCATAAAGTTACTGTATATAATATAAGGTCACACAGTTACAGTATATAATGTAATATAAGGCCATACAGTTATAGTGTATCATATAATATAAGGTCATAAAGTTACTGTATATAATATAATAAAAGGTCACAGTTACAGTATAGAATATAAGGTCATACAGTTACAGTATATCATATAATATAGGGTCATACAGTTACAGTATATAATATAAGATCATACAGTTACAGTATATAATATAATATAGGGTCATACAGTTACAGTATATAATATAAGGTCATACAGTTACAGTTTATCATATAATATAAGGCCATACAGTTATAGTGTATCATATAATATAAGGTCACACAATTAGATTATATCATATAATATAAGGCCATACAGTTACAGTATAGAATATAAGGCCATACAGTTACAGTATAGAATATAATATAAGGTCATACAGTTACAGTATATAATATAACACCATACAGTTACAGTATAGAATATAAGGCCATACAGTTACAGTATATAATATAATATAAGGTCATACAGTTACAGTATATAATATAAGGTCATACAGTTACAGTATAGAATATAAGGTCACACAGTTACAGTAATTGTACGATTCCTGTACAGGCCAGTTGTTGCGATCAGTAACTTGTGTTGCCCTGGATTCCTTATCTGCTTTTTCCTTTAAGTATTTACCTGCCCCACCCTCTACCTTGTTTGTACAGTCTGTGTTCAGGTTATCTCAGGTAAGCCATGTAGTTTTGTGTTTTGCTTTAAGTCAGGTGTTCCCGTTGTTATATATGATTTTAGCGTAGGTTTGCACATGGTCACATGATGATCGGTCTATCATCTCATGGCCGTCAGAAAGGTCGAAACCATATAGACCGCTGTCAATCTGGAACGAAAATAGAAGAAACATCTTGATTTTAGACTTCATTCTCTGTATTAAAGGAGAACAGTCACCTCAACTCTACCTTTTAATATAATAATAATAATTTTGTCAAAGTTTGTAAGGAAATCCATTCTTTGTTAAATTATGTTAATGTAAAAAAATATTTAAAAAACTCATCCCTCCCTCTAGTCTATGACAGGATCCTTCAGCCATATCCATACACCTTGGATCAGACAGTGTATGGATGTGACAGTTATTGATTCAGACAGTGTATGGATGTGACAGTTATTGGGTCAGACAGTGCCTGGAGGGGACTACTGGCTAGCCTCCTGCCTTCCGACTATGGCCCCTGTGCTGATAGCTGTATTTTACCCTGCAATAAGGTTTATTTGGGTATTTCTGCCGGGTTGTTCGGGACTTCCAGTATGTGAGTAGTGCTACCCCAGATAGCTATGCCATGGAGCCAATTCATGGAACGAAAGACTATGGAAAAGACTTTGGCTCCATGGCAATTGAATTGTATGTATGTGATCTGAGCGCCATTCAATAATAATGTGCACTCAGATCTAAGCTATCTGGGGATATGTTGCATGTATATGTTTTATGTAGTAATTGTAACATTGTGTAATTTTATGTATTTTTGTAACCATGTGGTTAATAGAGTCTTGCCTCTGTCCTGGGAGATAATTTGATTACTTCCCAATTATCTCCAGGATAGAGAGGAGGGATTGCGATGTCACTGTGGGAGTGTTTTGTTTGTATTGTCTGTGATTGGTTATACTGTGTCCCACCCTGTGGGATGTCTCCTTGCATGGGGACTTGCATAAAAGTCAGTGTGTGGTCATTAAAACCAGATCATCTTGTACCTTTCTTGAAGCCTTGGCTCATGTTTGGGGGAAGGGATACCTACACTCTGGGGATTGCTATAATCACTTACTCCCCAGAGTAAGCTCTTGCAATAGCTTGATTTGTTCCTGCTACGCTCTCTGGATTTAGGAGAGGTTCACCCACTGGGAGCTGGATCCTGGTCATGGATCCAGGGTGGGTGGAGACGGCTGGGAGTGGGGTCTGCAGTGCTGATGGTGTCGGTTGGAGTCCTCAGCGAGCACTAGGCGCATCGATTGGCGGAGGTACTCAGTCGGAGTGCCAGCGTTCCGTCACACCCTGGTTACCATAACAGCTTAGCCAAGGCAACATCGTGCCGACCTTCACCGGGTTGGCTCCCAGTGGAAGTGGATGGTGCCACCGCACCCCCGGCTCTGCCGGTAGATACAGACTTTCCCCGCTTGAAGCACCTGTTGAGGCAGTGGGCACGCCCGCAGCCCAAACATTCGTGCTTAAAATTACACGAGGCACCCCACTTGCATTGTCCTTCATTAAACATGCAACAGAACCCTTTCTTTTGACAGGCCGACGAAGAGGAGGTTGATCCCATGAAAGGGCGCAGCTTTCTGAGCCATCATCAGTTTCATCCATAGAGGTAGGTCCATCTGGTCCCACCGTATCCCGGGATTAGCTGACAACCTTTGACGGAACTGCTCGTCGTACTTCCACCATGCAAAGCCCCCATAAGTGCAATAAGTTTCCCAGATCCCATCCAAATAGCAGAAAAACTGCGAACACCGCACGGGAAATTTCTCCCCCAAAACACTAGCCAAAATGCAGAATGCCCGAAGCCAATTCCCAAAAGACTTGGGTATCTTCCGATACCTCCATCTCTTTTCCTCCTCCTCTTTCTTGGCATCCTTCTTATCTTCCTCCTACAGATCAAGATGTTCATCCAAAGGAAGGAGCGAGAAGATCGAGGAATTCGCCCCGCCATATCTTTTCCTTCACTTCCGATTTTAGATGACAACCCAAAGGCCCAGCGAATAACACGTGTACATTCTGCCTGGCTACTTTAGGGATCTCACCTATCAACTCTGCACGCTTGCTGACCATTGCCGATGACCCGAGTGAAGTCACCGTAGTCCCACCCTGAACACTGCCCACCGCAGCCACCAGAACCATCGTTGCCATCCCACTCCCGCCTGTCAGTGGACTCCACACTCGGCTACAATGCTCCTCCCGTGTACCCGACAGCCCAAGTGTTAAGAAAGGACCTCAAGCTATCCAAGAGATTCCCGGAGTGTAATGCAGAAGAAGACTCACTGCCAGAACCCCCTGCCTTAGAAGACCGCGGGGCTGCTGTCCTTCCACCCACCTCGAGAGGTTCAGGAGTAGCGTCATAACTTCTGCACACAGCTCCCGGGTTCTGCCTCAGAACCATAGAAGAAGGAGTTGCTGACCTGTGGGAAGAAGACAACCTGGTAAGTCTGCTCATAGGAGCCCCAACCTGTCCATCCTTCCCACGTTCCTGACCACATTCCCTGTCTTCACAACATCTGGCCACCTGGCCAGATTGGCCGTACGGGGTAAGCCTATCCTCTGATAACTCCTGTAAGGTGACCTGTAAGCCCTGCATCGGCTCCCCGCCCTATCCTCAGAAGTTGAACGCCCCCTGCTGTAATGCCTTACAGAAGGGCTCCTGTCTCTGCTGCGCAGACGTTCCCTCACTGCCACATGAACACCCGCAAGGAATTCTTTCACAGGATCCATCTGAAAAATAAATAAAAAACCTATCCAAACCTGAGAGACAACTGACAGGTAAGTTTAGGTTTAGTTAAGATGGCTACTTCACAAAATGGCCGGTATAAATACTCCCATCGTAGCTCTGACCCACCCAGCTTGCTAGCTGTCACTCAACTTCCCTTGGCTGTTATGCCTACCTCCTGGCTCTGTCAAGGCACACTCCCCTAGCTGCGCTGATCCATGGGCTACAGTCGTGCCAAGATAGTAAACCAATGCTGCTTTGAGGCTGCTTAATGCACGGACTAACATTTCATCATTTATTAATTCATGGCTGTAATTATTTCCGCTAAAAACTAATGGCATCATTTAAAATACAGCTGCAAAGAACATTTATTTGGTGAAATGTTTTTTCAGTGAGGAATTGAATGAGATATTACGTTTCATAGAGAATCTGCAGCCTTCCGTTGAAGAGCAGAACACGAAATATGAACTGCCGAGTTAGTGCTCTCTGAGGTCACGATGCTCACTTAACCCTGGATTTGTGTGTTGTGGTTTAAACATCTTAGTGCTGGTGGGTGTTTGAGCACACAACCTGATCTGTGTCCCCCAGAGCACATACCGGGTGCCGGGCAGGCAGTGACCTCATGTTTTACAATCAGAGGCCGCGTGTGCCAAGTAAATTTTGTGTGCTGCCTGTCATTGTGCCAGGGGACAGAATAGTGCAAAAGGTGACATAAAGGCAGCTGTGAGGGACACTGCTCTCATTCCAAAATGTTAAGCAGCATTTCCTGACAATCAGCCCTCGGCTTACATCTTGCCGACAAATGAATTTTTAGAATTTACACTCAGTGGATTCCTGACGAGTGCATACGAAGTGCTCACAGCTTACAGTGAAGATTTCTGTATTATTTACCAGCTCGGAAACTAGACCAAAAAAATTAAATTGGAGTTTTAATTCATCTTCATTTCATGCCTTATTGAAAGAGAATTCAAAGCACCAGAAAAACCATTAGCTGGAGTTTTGGTCCTGCTTTTGCAATCTTACCACTTTTCTTTTCAAATAATTTTTATTAAAGTTTTTAAATTTTTGTATAACAAATGATAGTAATACAAACATTGTATTAGGGGTAGGAAAGGAAGGGTAACTTGGAAATGGGAAGGGGTATCCATCCATCATTGAAATAAACATAACAATGTATATGGCAAAAAAATTTGTACATCAATGCACTTTAACAATAAATATATCAAAGACCATAAACTGTTTTGATTTTTTCTTCCCATTTGTCCCAATTATATTTTAGTATCGGGAAACCATGCATAAATAGCATAAGGATATCATACCTTTACTAGCGGGGCTGTATAAAAAAAACTTTCTCTAAAGGAGATAACTCAAGTGATTTAGAGTTTTTATCTGTTTCAGGTACCTGGTATAGTTCTTTCAATTTGTCAATGATTAGCATACATTCCATTTCACATACATTTGACAATCCATACTTAAGCTTCAATTTTTCCAAAGAAAGAATAGCATTGCCATAAAAACAACTGTCCAGATTAGTTATAGAGCAATCCTTCAACAATTCTATTTTTAAGGATGGTATATAATCTTTCAATAACTCAATAGGCATTGCTTTATATAAACTGGGAGTCTGGTCATTTTTAAAAACAATGTCCCAGGCCTTAAGCGTAGTCTTGGTAGATAAAAATAATTTTGTAATTCCAGGTCTTTTCTTAGAATTTAACCAAGGTAATTCTGACAATCTAACCGGTAAAATTTTTGATTCCTCTATTTCCATCCATCTGGATTTATCATCCTGGTTGTTAAAGCTCACAACCACTGCAGCGTTAGTGGCGAAATAATATTTGCGGATATCGGGGACACCTATACCGCCATTCGATTTATGGTGCTGCAGGGAAGTGAGCCTCACTCGGGCAGGCTTGTTCCCCCAGATAAATTTCAACATTGTCGAGTGAACTTTATTAAAAAATGATAATGGAATGGACAGAGGAATGGTCCTAAAAAAATATAAGATTTTGGGGAGTATCGTCATTTTAATAGATGCGACTCTCCCCAGCCATGAGAGCTCCATCCCACCCCATCTCTCCATCTCTTTTTGTAAGTCTGACCATGCTTTCCTCAAGTTGTGATTGTGCATATTGACCAAATTTTTGCATAAATTAATGCCAAGATATTCCATATATTCAGTTCTCCAATCAAATAAATATGATTTCTTAAGGGCAATGGTTTCCAAATTGTTTAAATGAAACGGGAGGGCTTGAGTTTTGGACTCATTTAATTTGTAGTACGATATCTCACCAAATTGGGTTAAAATATCCTTGAGGTGTCTCAAAGAATCCTTTGGGTTTTTGACAGCTGGGATTATATCATCTGCAAACAGGCCAATTTTGTGAACGGATTCTTTAATAGCAATTCCTACAATTTGTGGGGTCGTTCTAATCAGTTCTGCCAGGGGTTCTATCGCTAAGACAAACAAAATTGGAGATAAAGGGCACCCCTGTCTCGTCCCGTTGGTTAGAGAAAAAGTTTTGGATGTGAAGCCAGAAGCTGAGACATGGGCAGAGGGTGCGCAATATAACGCCTTATTTGCTGTGATAAAGGACGATGGTATGTTGAACCTGTCTAATGTTCTCCATAAATATCCCCAATGTATCCTGTCAAACGCCTTCTCTGCGTCTAGAGATAGAAGCAAAGAAAGCGTTTTGTTCATCTTACCACTTTTCATTTCAAGTAATTTTTATTAAAGTTTTTAAAATTTTTGTATAACAAATGATAGTAATACAAACATTGTATTAGGGGTAGGAAAGGAGGGGTAACTTGGAAATGGGAAGGAGTATCCATCCATCAATGAAATAAACATAATAAAGTATATGGAAAAAAAAAATGTTTTGTACATCAATGCACTTTAACAATAAATATATCAAAGACCATAAACTGTTTTGATTTTTTTTTTCCCATTTATCCCAATTATATTTTAGTATTGGGAAACCATGCATATTGGCTCTGTGTGATAATTCATGTGCCTTGTTTTCTAAAATCAAATTAAAAGCTTCTCTGAGAGATGGCACATTTTGGGACTTCCAATGTCTAGGTAAACAGGATGTAGCAGCGATTAGAATGTGGCCTATGATTATTTTATCTGATCTATTAACGGACTCCGGGAGTTTTTTAAATAAGGCTAGTTCCGAGGTTAAGATGCTAATGGTTCCGTTCACTTTAATAATCAGATCATGGATCATTTTCCAATAATTAATTAACTTGGGGCAGAACCACCAGATATGGGCCATATTGCCCACTCCCCCACAGTCTCTCCAACACCGGTCAGAATACATATTGTTCATGTTATGTAATCTAGACGGAGCCAGGTACCAGCGATATAAGATTTTATAATGATTTTCAAAATGGTCGGTGCAATACGAAATACCTTTTAAACCTTTAAAGAAACCGAAAGATTCTTCTAAATCGTGCTGGGCACCCAACTCCGTCTCCCATGACAGCATATGTTTTAATTTAATTAAGGGCTTGGCATTATGAGATAAGTAGCATAAGGATATCATACCTTTACTAGCGGGGCTGTATAAAAAAAACTCTCTCTAAAAGAGATAACTCAAGTGATTTATAGTTTTTATCTGTTTCAGGTACCTGGTAGGTCTGACCATGCTTTCCTCAAGTTGTGATTATGCATATTGACCAAATTTTTGCATAAATTAATGCCAAGATATTCCATATATTCAGTTCTCCAATCAAATAAATATGATTTCTTAAGGGCAATGGTTTCCAAATTGTTTAAATGAAACGGGAGGGCTTGAGTTTTGGACTCATTTAATTTGTAGTACGATATCTCACCAAATTGAGTTAAAATATCCTTGAGGTGTCTCAAAGATTCCTTTGGGTTTTTGACAGCTAGGATTATATCGTCTGCAAACAGGCCAATTTTGTGAACGGATTCTTTAATAGCAATTCCTACAATTTGTGGGGTCGTTCTAATCAGTTCTGCCAGGGGTTCTATCGCTAAGACAAACAAAATTGGAGATAAAGGGCACCCCTGTCTCGTCCCATTGGTTAGAGAAAAAGTTTTGGATGTGAAGCCAGAAGCTGAGACATGGGCGGAGGGTGCGCAATATAACGCCTTAATTGCTGTGATAAAGGATGATGGTATGTTGAACCTGTCTAATGTTCTCCATAAATATCCCCAATGTATCCTGTCAAACGCCTTTTCTGCGTCTAGAGATAGAAGCAAAGAAGGCGTTTTGGTCATATTGATGTGCTGAATCAAGTTTATAAATCTTCTAGTTCCGTCTGGTGCCTGTCTATCCTGTACAAAACCTACTTGATCCTTATTACCGTAATTAGCAATGGGAGTAATTTGGTTAATCTATTAGCGAGAACTTTAGAATAAATCTTTGAATCATTATTAATCAGAGAAATGGGCCTAAAGTTAGGGCATCTATCAGGAGTTTTTCCCGGCTTTGGCAAAGTGACTATTCGTGCGCACAAGGACTCCTCTGGCATCTTTCCCTCGTACTTATAGGAATTGAACAATTTAGTCATATGGGGAATAAAAATTTCTGGAAAAGTTTTATAATATAAAATAGTAAATCCGTCGGGACCAGGGGGCTTTTCCAGATGGCATAAGTTTAATTGCCTCGGCTATCTCTGCTGCTGATATTTCACATTCTAAGCTTTCTAAATGTCCTGGAGACAGCCGAGGCAATGACACTTTGTCTAAGAATTTATCAA